TTATGTTCTGAACCACTATATTTTGCGTTCCGCAGTCCGATTATAAATTCTGAGAGCACTTACGACGTCTTTGCAAATTAACAACAAAACAAATGATTTAAGGCGAGTATGGTAGATGTTTACCAACGTTTCAGAGGTCGTACTGCCTCCGTCATCAGGTCTACCAACCGAGAAAACAGATATCTTCACAACAAAACTATTATCATATTAAATGGCGTATTATGGTCCGTCATACTTGACGGAAATAAATATTTTTTGTATTAAACAATTCAATTTCTTCTTCTTCTACCCTTGTCTCTCCTACTTGGAGTATGGCGGCCTCCTCTCGGAAGTTTTTGATATATTTTTAGACATTTGGTGGGAACTTCTTGGACGAGTAATGAGTCCATCGCAAATAATAATACAATTTATTGCAGTAACATCTTTGCAACTGCACTGAAGACACTTTTATTAAATTTCTTTATAAGCTAAATTAATGCTAAAACATCAACTGCAAAGAGCAAAAATCCTTCATGAGAAGCTGACAGACGCTCAGTTCGTCAATAAACTCCCAGCCATTTACAAAACCCGTTGCCTCGTTATTGCATTCACAACAGCCCACGGCTGGACCCCATCACGAGCCACTTGAATCTACATCCTCACTATTTCTTCAAGATACATTTTAATATTATCCTCGCATCCGTCTTCATAGTGGTCTTTGTTCAGACTTTTCGACCAAACTTCTGAAAGCGCTTCATCATTTTAAGAGAATGTAGTGAAACGTGCAAATTATAACGCAAAAGGGAAAGGACGTTTACGCCTATGCTTAACCAAATACCACACCGTGTTTGCACTAACGTCATCCCACGTCACTGCTGCACTACAGCGTGTTCCAAAAATGACTCCCGTTCATGCAGGTTTCTTCCCCGTAATAAATTCGGGACAGGCAAAGAGACCTTCATGTAACACGCTCTCCGCTCACGCAAGAGCGCAAAGAAAACAAATAATATTAAACCCTGTAAGTTGACTTCCGACCTCTTTACTTTAGTAAATTTTCATACTTACTTTCTAGTTACTGAATCCTGTCATCATTCACACGACGTAATATTTTAATCTTAATTTAATTTTTATAAAATTTTAAATTAATGTTGTCTCTTCATGGCCGTTTTTTAAATAAGCCCTGTAATGCTATGGTAAATTTTTAAACCATTAGATACGCAAAATATCAAAGAACATGTTTGGAAAAGAAGTTTTTACCGAAGAGAACGAGGGTGCAGTCTTTATGTGAATGGCCACGAGCTAGGCGACCGCAGTTCTGTTCCCGATAAGAGGATGTTTTGCCATGGGATCCACCCAATCTTGTATATAAATTCAATGGCAACCTGGTACTATAAATCAGAGAGGGGTGAACCAGATATCTAGATCGGGTACGGAAACAAGAAATTTGTACATAATTACGGTGGGGGAACGTCTGAGAAAATAGCCGTTGGGAACATGTAAGGTACAGGAAAGTGATATTAAACTAGATCAGAAGGATAATTTGCAGATGAAAACTAGACGAGTTACAGAATCAAATCTAACAGTATTAAACTGTTGGATTGAGGATTCTTTAGAGCGGCCATCCCTAAACACACAAAATAGCCCGGTTTCTTTTTTTTAAATATAAAATCCTGCCTTCCTGCAGCTGTTAGAAATCGCAAGGCACATGAACACGAACAAACCCGAAGACTGACTCAGTCGAAGCAGCACGTGAACCGAACGTTATGCGTGACACACTTTTGTCCGCAGCTCGAAGCCCGACTTTCTCCTGCCATTGAAAGTTCTGTGAGAATCTCCCACATGCACTTTCTCCGAAAACACGATTCTCATGTAATTTAAAAGACATGTTAGAGCACTTTATACAGTGTTTGCTGCCTAAACAGCTATGTTCGTGCTATTTCACAGACCACAAAAAAAAAAATGTGCAGAATCCACAGCATACAGATGTCTTCAAGGTTGTCTGGACCTGCAATACTACCACTCGCACGTAAAATTTAAGTACGTCACACGGCTGCTGAGAAGAAAGCGTTTATAAACCATTTATCACACACCGATTCCTTGTGTTGGACGAAATCGTTTGTCAAGTTCGATCCAACAGCAGAATTACCAAAACTCATTCACAAATTCTGTTGATCAAGAACACATTAATCGCTTACAGAACAAGGTTACATACCACACGTGTAACGCGGGAATCATTACAATACGGCTAAAGTACAACGTAAATACCTGTTTTCAACCCAGAAAATAGTTATAACACGTTTTGTTGATATGACTGATGCACAAAATGCGTTCAGTTACTGTACAAATTTCTTGGTAACACGTAATACATAGCACACTATTTTCGTAGTCTGTACAAACACACGATAGGTACAACATTCGTTTTACTGAATGCCCTGACTAAGTAGCGACAACATAACATACAGACCGAGGACAGGTCATAAATTAGGTGAGTTGTTCATTGTATCCTACACAGGTTTCCTGCACTGTTTAACAAGTGAAATAAATATTCGGTATAGAGAGATAAAAATATTCGTACATCTTAGAGGTCTACCACAAATATCTCGTTACTTACCAGTGCGTAAATCCCCACAATAGCAGATGCAACAAGCAAGCTGCAGCACAGGCAGGTTTCAAGAAACGCCATTACACTGCATTGTCACACTTCGCCTTCTCTTTAAATACTGAATCACGTCTCGAGACCTGTGCGGATATGAACAGTTCATTTGTTCCCAGCAGCAGCAGCAGCAAGAGAGGTGGTGGGGAAATTGACCGATTGTTTAAATTTTTCTACGTCCTGCGAAGGATATTACTTTATTGCAAACGATCATGTACTGATCATCTGCGATTGATGAAGTGCAGAAAGAATACAACAGCATGTTACTGTACTATAAACAGCTAGCTGGATGTATTAAAATAAACAAAATTTGCAACATCTTAGTCACAGTAATTAGGATCTATGTACTTTGAATTCACAAAGAAAGTAATCAACAAGGGCCCATGAGGACGGTCATCTGGAGATGCGCATTAATCTCTAGGGCAAAGTCCCCAAAAGACCGATTATTCACATTATTATTGACCGAAATTTTGTCCTGTGCGAACAACAGCTAGAGAAATCGCGAAATGAAAATAATGGGCAACAATGTCATAGAAGTAAAATTCTTATTACCGAGGCTGGCCGAGTTCAAAAATTATTTCGACGCACTATAATGTGGTATAAAAGGGACATAAATGTAGACCCATAGCACAGATAGAAAATATTTACTTCAGGTCTGCTTGTACTAAAATTATAATAAATACTTCACTATTTGTACTCTTCACCAGATATTATGACGGCGATCTAATCAAGGAGGTTTAGAAGGACAGGTCATGTCGATGATAATTATTTAATTATACTAATCACCGTTTCTTTATTTCACTGCGTCTTCTTAGTCGAAATTATTAATAGCTGATTTTAATACTACAATATGAATGGGCTACTTGTTAAATTTTTAGTTAGTAAAATAAATATTAGTTCATTCCGGTGTGATCGAAAAACTATTACTGATTACACGGACTGCCCTCGTACCAACCTTAGTTTCCTGAAATGGGAGCGAGTAGGCCTATGAGGATCTGAGTAGTTTTTGCTACATCTGCTATATTTAAAACAGCCTCTGATGTATTTGATTCAAAGCAAGAATGTGTATATTTGTAGACGTCATACTTTCAGGAATTTTTTTTTCCGGTTTCTTTTGCATTGATGACGGAAAGTAGAATCAAATCGACAA